CTGTATTTTCTAGACTTTGAATATCAAATGTACACAAGGTGGAACTGTACTTTCAATTTAAGTCTCTTTTCATGACTCAAATGCTCCATGAAGCCTCCCTTGTCAGATGGAAGAGGTAGGACTCTTTAGGGAGACAGAGGGGAAGATGCACAGCTGTGATCACCATGGGGCGCACTTGAGTGCACAAACTCACCCTGCAGGACCCTTGTGTCCAACCTTTGGCAGCTACTTGAACTGAAAGTGACTTCTCCCAAGCACAAATTGCAGAGTTCTCTTTAGCAAGCTTTATTAAGAAGACAGTAAGTAATGACACAAGAATTCCAGCAAGTGAACTATTTTCAATTAAGAACCAATATTGTGGTGTATACTTAGGGTGGTGAGTTTCTGAGTCTTTATCTCACAACCTAACAGTGCAGGAGCAAAAAGGCAGGTCTCTTCTCTGATAAAGAGGGAGTCCTCGGCTGTGTGTTGTTTATACAACAGTTGCCTGAATCATTATCAGTCTAAAAACCAACTATGCTTTGCACAGCATCTGTGCAGTTTAGTAGAGCTTGTGGAAGAAAATGTCTTGGAAGACTGTTCCATCTCAACCAGAGAAGGCCATGTGAAATGTCCAATTTAGACAGTAAAATGTTCAGAGCAGAGCCCATCACTTTCTATCCAATCTTCCCCACATCTATACATGCTCAGACAAAAGTTAGTAAAGTGCTTCCAGGGCACTTGTTGCAGGCAATACGCATCTCCATCTCCAAGGAAATGTTTATCTAATCAGGATATGCGTTCATCATGATCAGCATTTATCTCCCCTTTTCCCTGCAAGGGGCAGACAATGACAGCATGGCTTTGTGGTTGGAATGCCTGACTCAGGTTAAATTCTTATTATGAGGGCTACAGGAAGATTTGCAGACATCACTTAACAGGGTCAAAATTCAGGGTCAACCAAGAAAGGATGCACCATCTATAGCAGGCATCCCAAATGTTCTCAGCACCAGTCTTTGTGTGGCATATCAAGGACTATGCTCCATAAATGGTCTAATTTTGGGGTGGCTTCAGAGATGCTAAGGGGTACAAGGGTGCCTCAAGCTTCTGTCAGCCTGGCCTATGGCAAAGGTGTATGAAGTCATTTGAGGGCTGATGGCCATGCTTGGTCTTTGAATGGCATGTCAGAAGTCACACTCTGGCATATGGTGGCTACCATTGGTGGGCTCTACAGGCTGCACCAAAAGCCTTGAGGGTCTCCAAGTGGCTTTAGAACCTCTGATCACCTTCCACACATTTGGGAGTTAAGAGAAGATGAAAATAAATCAATTATTCGCCATGAATCCCTCTTCTCAGTATCTCAATGAAAGGCATTCAACAGCGTTGCTTGATCAGATCCAGGTAAAAGAAATTCCTTGTTTGGTTCTTGTGTTTCTTCAGTCTGGCCTAGATAAGAACACTAGTACACTTAAATGTCAAGATGTTGCTAAATAACATTCCCAGCTGTCAACCGAAGAGCTTCTTTGCTTTTCGTTTCCAAGCTAAGAGCTTTGGGAAAGTAACTGCTCACTTGAATCTTTGGGCCATTCACTGATACCTCATGCAAAACCTGAATTCAGTCTGAGGGTCCTCATGGGTCTCCCTTTTAAGCTGCTGACCTGAGCTTAACGTTGGATCACTCCTGAAGTAGCACTTCTTCTCACCATTATTTTGAGTTTGGGGACATGTCATTTCCTTATAAAGTAGGGTGAGATTTTGCTTCAAATTTATCTTATGGCCCAAAGTCTGTTGCCTCTTCCATGGGTCCCAGGAGACTGACCTGCTGTTTCTATCCAGACCCATGACACACATGACAGAAGGACTGACACAAATGGAATGTGTGCAAGGCACTCAGTTTCTATTTACACTGAATGATCTCAGTTAAGAAGTTGGAGGGTTTGCTTGAAATCTTTTACAAAGAAGTACAAAGAGTCAACTTCCTCCATATTTTTCTGGTTGCAGGAATGCAGTTGTAGAGTTTCACTTCCGGGAGATGTTCCTGGACTCTATCAGAGGCCAGGTTTTCTTGCAGGCAATCTGTAGTGGTACCCTCTGGGCATCTCTGCTTAAAAATAGAAATTCTCTAAAGTAGATGCTTGTCTTTGATAAAATGGTGTAACCGATAATAAGGGTTGGTCATAACTGTCTTGCTGCTGGAGATGCAACTCAGGAGCTGGAGGTTTTACTCATATGGTTTGGATGTCCTATTATTGCCATCTCTGGGGCTAATTCAAAGGATTGCCAATATGTTTCTGAACTGATTCCTGTGTGTTAAAGATGCATATATACCCCAATATTTGGAATCTATCAAGACATCAAAAACATCTCTTCTTCCTGTTACTGACCTAGATATTGCAATACATAAGGCTTAAGTAGCTCACCTAGATTATTGCCACTTGGGCTCAGTATAAGTCTTCACAGTCAACTAATAAAATAATCTTTGCATAAAGCATTCAATCTGCATAATGCATTCTGTTCACAGTGAACTCAATGAATTTAAAAGAGGCCTTCCAAGGCTTGGGCGCATCATTTCATTTTAAAAGCTTTGCTGTAAACCATTATCTACAGATATCAACAAAACCCAGGAATCACAGCACAAAGCACCTGCTCTGGACCTTCTATTATCATCAGAGAATGAAAGAACTGGAAATGAAAACAAGATAAAATGGTTTTTAAAATGAATTCAGCACCAATGGAGTTCAGTTGATTGAATCAGTTCTTAAAGGACCTTTTCTGCTCTCTGCTTTTAAGTATGTATGTATTAACTTAAAAAGACACCTCTTTGCAAGAACTAAAAAAAAAAGTATAATAACAAAACTATTAATGGCATAATCAAACTATATAAGCAATTATTTATTGCTACCAATAAGCCCTTTGTTCATGACTACCCCAACAAACTTGACCCATAGATTTCAGGGGGTCATATATTCTTGACTTCACTTTTAATGTAAACCAAAAACTTAGAATATATTAAGGAAGAGTGGTTTCCATAATTAATATTGCTACCCAACCTATCCTGATTGATGAAACATTCAGCTAGGGGTAAATTCCCTATCTTCCTTTACCACTGAGAGGTCTACCTTCTCCAGTCTTCCATAAATAAGCTATAATGTGATGGGCCATCTCCAAATAAGAGAACTAACACCTTCTCAAGGAAACCTGATCCCAACTGAAGAGAATATCTGTAGCTCGGGGTTGACCTGTGGAGTCCTTGGGGTTCTCTGAGCTTGGTTGTTTGCTTAAAGATGTTTTGATACCTGGCTAGATAACATCTTCAGTGCTAACCCCAAGGACCCCACTGATCCCAATTATTCAACTTTGTGTCCAACCCGAATAGCAATACCGACCAATCACATGATGCTTTTGCTTACCGATATGTACCCCATTCTGGAAGCAGAGTAGAAAGCCCCTCTCTTTATGGAAACTCTGCTGTGAAAGCTCCATTGAAATCAATGGGAGTGAGTAATGCAAGAGTACAGCCATATCCCAAGATAGTGTGCTTTTTTGCATTAAGAGGTCTTGTGCTCTCAATCATTTTCATAGTATCAACTCATAGCAACGTTCTTTGGAGCACTAAACACCTAAATGAGATCACCCATCTCTCTGCTGCCTTTTCCAGACTTCAAATGCTAAAATCCAAGACTATCTCAAGGTACAGAATGCTCCAAATCTTCCCAATAGCCACATGTGACTGAGACCACACAGGCTACAACAAAATAGAATCAGGAGTCAGACGCTTTTTGAAACAGGACTTCAAACCTGTGACTCTACATGCATGAGGGTTTCTGGTTAATTAATGCTTATCCCTTGCAGTACAGGACTTTAAGAAGGCCTTAGAAATCTCTCAGTTTTTCCTAGCCTGGTGCCCAATGTATCTGGAAAACAGCATGTTGGACATGGCTGGTGTATAAAGATCTCAAGAACATGAATGGCTTCTGTGATCTGCAGCTGCTTTCCTCTTAGCAACTCCACGTGCATTTGATGGGTTCCTTTACGTACATTCATTCATCAGGATTTGGTCCTAAAAGGTGGTTAATAAAACTCTTCAAATGAACAAATGAATGACTGGTTGCTTTTAAGAATCTCTACAATAAGAGAAAAAAGCTTTAAAGAGACCTGAAAACAATTTCATAGTAGGTCACTCCCCATTATGCGCACAGATATATTTACTGTTCTGTTTTGGCCTCTAGTCAAAGCAGACTAGAGCTTGTTGGTTCCGCAAGAACCTGTGGATCATATTTAACCAGAAGCAGCAGCAGAATGAACATGTGCAATATGGAGATTTCCAAATTACAGTCCTCAGAACTCCACCCTTTTCCCATTTCCAGAGATAGCAAATTGATGGGTCCTCTGGCTGCAAGCCCTTACAATTAAATGTAAAACTGATCTAACTAAGATGGCTTAGACCCTTCCTTGTATCATCCATATAATGGTTCAGGATTAGGCAAACAACACAGATGAGCTCCAAAATAAGAATCAATTTATATTATTCTCAATGGCCAAAAATGCTTGTCTGGAACATTTCTGATTTCACGGTTAGTGTCTCATACAAAACAATCTGTGGAGGTGCAACGTAATTGTTTCTGAAAGAAAGCAACACAAATTCAGGATTCACCATCTCTGCAAGGAAATACTGTAAAGTAAACAGAAGTGAGCCAGACAGGCTGAATAGAATGCAATGTACCCACTTGTTTTTATCTACCCAACCAGCAATTTATTCTCCTACCATTATATTTGTATGCTCAAAAGATTTACAGACAGTCTCTGATTCTTGCCTAGACTTGCTTAGCATCAGTCACTCAGTTGGCTGGGACCTTGGCTCTACCTGTGTCAACATGGCCTCAAATTGTGTATTCTCTCAGTTCTAATACCCTTTTTCTCTAGATACGATGAGTCTGCGTGTTGCAATAGTGCATTCTTAACAAGTCAAGTAGAGAGGAACAAAATACAAACATGTGCTGCAGAGATAAATCTCAACTCACTTTAAGATTTCAGACATGAATTCATGCTGAACAAGTCCAGCAGGGAACAAGGCAGAAGCACAGGCTCCAAAATTATAGAAAGCTTGGGTGACGTCCTTCAGCTCTGGGCACCAAAGATCAGTGCTGACTTTGTCTGCTAAGAAGAGAAGAAAGGGTTGGGTTCAGTAGATCAAAAGAGGCAGGAAGAGATCTTGTGATCAGGTTGCTGGGATTACAGCAATTCTGGGTAAATATTCCTTGCCATGCCCAGAGTTACACTTCCCAAGATTCCATGATAGGAAATAGCCACCCCGAACAATCATGGAAATGTTGCTCCAATGAAGGAGAACATCTTGGACCAAGTGTTGACTGTAATGTGCTATTTCTGATCATGCTTTGAGATAAAAGTGAAGCTGATAGGAGTCATTGTGCCTTAGAAAATAAGGGTGTTTCTAGAGACCCCGTTTCAGGGCACTCAGCATCTGCGAGTCAGTTGGGATTACGATTAGCAGGTCTGTTGCATCAATGTGACTGGGCTGCCAACCAAAGCTTTCATTTCTTGGGCCTGTGTTTTGATTTGAAGATCATGGCTGAGTTCATCTCTTGCATTAATCCCATGATTTATTTAAGGCTAAGTCACAAACATAGCTTAAACACCATGGTGGCTGAACTTTACGCCACACACTAAGACAACCAAGCCGCATTGTAGCGCAAGAATGTTGTATGGCCCAGGCTAATACGTAATACTGGTCTTCCACAACCTTTGCTCCCAGATGTGCTAC